CTATATATATATATAATGTTCTAAGGGGATTTACAGCAACATTGATAGTTTTTTACTCAAAWGGAAAAGACAATAATTTTGATTCATAAATGTAAGTACATGCTCTTGTTTTTAAATCTCCACAGTTCGGTCTCTGCAGGTGACGTCCTGAAACAAAGAGGCTGGAGGAGCAGTTTAAGGAGTCACCTACGATTCCTCCAAACGTCATGTTTTGCATCAAATCCAATGCAAAACAGGAGGTAGTTCATCCTCGTGGACCCTAAACATTTATTTTATAAGCCCGCCCTCTGATTAACACAAGTCTTTCATATCAGAACCTGACACTCGTCCTTTCAGTTCTCCTTCATCACGGTCTCTATCCGCTCCCGACGGCCGCCTTCCTCATCATGTCCTCGTCCTGGACCGAGAGCTCAGTCAGCTTGCGACCCAGTCTCTCGTGAAGGTCCAGGTATTTGGCCACGCAGCGGTCCAGGCACACAGACTCGCCCTTCGTCAGCTCCGCCTCCTTGTAGTGTGGTGGGACGCACTTCCTGTGGCAGGCGTTCGTCATTCTGAGGGGGAAGAGGTCAAATTCTTCAAACGATGCAGTCCATAAAGACACTAAMTGGCATCAGTGCAAAACTGTCCCTCAGTAAAACTCTACAGCGCCATCTGCTGGAATTTAATTTACACACCACAAAAATTTAAATAATGGAGACTGTGATTTTTATTTTTAAAGTAATTCTGCAGATAATTCATGCACAGTAAAGGGGATGTTGCTCCGCTCACTTCTGGTGATGAAGAAGCTTTTAAATTTTAACYCTTACCTACAGTAATGAGATATAAATCATGAATCCAATCTGCTCTGGGAACTTTTTGGGATTACCCAGGACCTGGATGTTATTCTCAGGTGTTCCCTCCAGGACTAATTAATGTACAAGTGTGTTTGTTTATAAGAACAAAAAAACCTACATTTTAAAACCACTTAGATGGGCTGGACAAAGCTCCCTCCTGTACTGAACCAGTAAAAGAAGACAAAGTCAAAGTTGGTTTCCGTAGCTTCCGCTTGGAAATAGCTAAAGGGCGATTCCACCTAATATTTCATTACCTTGAGCATCTTTAATCTGCTCTAGTTCAACAACTGAAGTACTTAGACTCTTCAAACCTAGATTAAATTACTCTACACTTATAGCAGAATAATTAAAACAGAAGTACTTTCTTTAAAAAAAAAAATCAAAAAGTTAATACCAGGGAAAGGAGAATGTTAAGTTTTTGGCAGCATCATGTCAACTGATGCCCCCAACCAGGAAGGAATCACAGCTCAACAGAATGCAAGATCACATCCTGCATTCATTACATCATCGTAGCTACGAAGAAGATGAAAAAATAAATGTTAAGAATCAGAAAGTTCAAAGTTTAAATAACAGCAAACACTGCCAATTTGATAGAATGAGTTCAATTCTTGAGTGTTCCAGAGGCAAAAAAAAAAAAAAAACCTCTAATACTGTATGGCCCTTTAATAAATAAATAAAAAAGTTTCACAAATATCAAACTTGTTTTTAAATATTCTACTGTAAGTGTAGAATAATTTAGTCCAGGTCTAAAGACTATAGGTGTTGTGGTTTTGGAGCTGGACCAGGTCTAGTGCTGTCCGGATGCATAAAACGTGATGAAAACGCACTTTATTGAAGTTTCACAAATCTAAAACTTGTTTATAGTCTGCTATAAGTGTAGAATAATTTAGTCCAGGTTTAGCTTTTAAACTAGAGCAGATTAAAGATGCTCAAGGTAGTGGAAAAATTAGGTGGAAACTCCCTTTAACCATTTCCTGAAACAACTTCAGCTTCGTTAAATGAAGCAACATCACTGTTGCTGCTGCTGCAGACAGAGGACACCTGTGCTTATGTTTCACCTGCTGCACCCAGTCTTTGACAATAAAACCCTAAAAAAAACATTTAATGGAAAAAGTCCAGACATGTCATTTTTTAAAATACATTAACTCAAGCCAATGTAGCAGAACCATAACCTGCTTGTTTTGAAGGAAATGTTCTCAGGTGTAGGGGTGAAATTATTTACATTTGTGTCAGATGTTTTAAGAATGTGAGGTTGTTTGGCTAAAAATGGGCAKATAGTAAATAGTCTTGCCCACATCCTAAGTAGCGGTTAGCTAGTTGAGGATTACCGGTTGTACATGTCAGCCATCATCTCCACCTCCAGCTCCGCCGCCAGCTGCTGCGCCTTCATGGGATCCATGGTGTCCRCCTCTCGGTGCTCTCAGCCGGCCTCCACCGCTGCCACCCCGTCCCTGACACTCTCCCTGCGGATACTTCAACAAGCAAACCACCGCCGCTSCTTCTGTAACCTTCAAAACCTGCGAGAAAACACGTGCGTGTAGTGTAGCCGCATGCACTTCCGGTGCCAATAAAGTTGGATTCAAACATGTCGTTTTTCAGAGAGAGCGCCCTCTAGTGGCCACTCTGGGTACTACTATAAAAACAGTACAAGCGTGAAAAAACACTTTTTTAAATAAAAATCAGAACACATTTTACATAAAACACGCCGCAATTAACAAATACAGTATCAAAACAAATTTTTCCCACATTTGTGCTTCACACGGTCCCACAATGACAACAAAGTGCTTTAAACTTAGTCTGAAACATTTAAAAGTTTAAAGCACTTTGTTGTCATTGTGGGACCRTGTGAAGCACAAATGTAAACATTAAGAACTTTATTTTCGGCTGAACTTAAATAACAATTAAACCTAGCCTAAACATTTAACTAAAAATAAATTTTGATTCATGAAAAAAAAATAAAATAAAAAAAACTACAAAAGTGCTGAACAAACAATATAACAAACAATGCACACATAAAAAAGTCACTCCTCTTCATCTCCAGTCCCATCAACCTCTTCATCTTCATCGGGTATCACTTCTATTTTCATGCTTTCACACGCTCCACCAGGATGTGCTTTGTCTGGGGAGACCAGCACAACATCCACCTCCTCTTCTTCATCGTCTTCCTCTTCATTTCCAGTCACATCAACCTCTTCCTCTTCGTCTTCATCGGGTATCACTTCTATTTTCATGCTTTCACACGCTCCACCAGGATGTGCTTTGTCCGAGGAGACCAGCACAACATCCACCTCCTCTTCTTCATCGTCTTCCTCATGGTCGTGGCGAGGGGTCACRATGAGCTCGTTGGCTCCTGACGAAGGAGGACCGGTTCTCTGGGACGAAACTTCCCTGGTTGTTTCAGGCAGTTTGGCGTCGAGGTGACAAGCATCGTCGCTGATCACAGACGGACCAGCTTCGGATCCTCCAGTCCAACTCGACGCTCCTGCTAAACAAAAAATAAAAATAAAATAAAATAAATAAATAAATAAATACTAAAAAAAATTCTCATAATCAGACAACTAACCTAAGAACCTTTACAGCCACTGCTCAAAGGTAGAGATTTAATGAAATAAGTTATTACTTGATAAATGGCTCTAAAAATCTGATTTTCATTAAAGGTTTGCATCGAGGTGTCTTGATGATCCTTTTTATTGTCATGTTTCACCAGATACAGACTCACAACATTGAGACTGCTGAAGCCTCACAGTTCACTCTGTAAACACTTTTTATTTCATCTAAATTCACTGAACAGCTGCTGTGGTAAAAGTACTTCATCACCTTTTTTTCTCTTTAAACGGTTCCTTATTTAGATATGTTTCCTCATACTTTTGTGACTGATAATTGGAAAAACAATTCACCTGGGTATTTCGTTTCTACAGAAGCCTTTTAATCTGATTTGTATTATTTTCTGAAGGCCTTTTAAAAAAGCAACTTCTACCTAATATAAAACAGAGTAAAGCTGCTTTGTTTATGGCTGCCAGACAGAGGCTGACCAAAACGATTTTTAACTCTTCCAATAAACATCCTTGGGCAGAGGACGTTGCCATATTATTTAGTTATTTAAAGGATAGGAAACAGTTTGTACAAATACATGATATAAGATCTGAATTAAGTAATATTAAATATGGGGTTTTTGATGACTCCAAAAAACAATGGAAACAGGACATTTGTAGAAATCCAARACAGAGACATTACATTCAGTTTAAGGAAGAGTGTTGTACTGAACCCAATGTAAACTTTTATTTATCTCAAACAGGTCAGAACTGGTAGGCTGCCTCTGGCAGCAGAGGTGGGTATAAGTCTCTGAAGAGGAGAGAGTTTGTGTTCTTTGTGACTTTAATGTGTTGGAAAATGAAAATCATTTTATTCTCTACTGTCCTTTGTATTCTGATTGAAGTTTTTCTCTATTTGAATGTATAAATCTATCCTTGTGTGGCATTTCGTTTTTCTTTTTAAAGGTAGCGCGACCCCTGCTGGTTGCTACATGACCTGTTCACCTGTTCCCCCATGTTTGTGTCATGTGTGTCTCTTGAATGGGTGTTCTTAAATGTAATTTCATTGTGCTCCGTACAAAGACAATAAAGGCATCATCAATCAATCAATCAAATAGACGTGATGCAGATGCATTTCAGTTACATGAGGATACAATTTTAAGTTGGATTTATATAAGGAAATGTTTGCATTTGTTGCTTTTGTTTGTAAAGCTTGGGAAAGAAGAAAACACACGTTGTATCCTGGCTGAGTTTCAGCTTGTAATGATATTTTCTGTGATATGATTGTGTGTTCTGTGTGTGTGTGGACTGTCTTATAAACCCACGACACTTAAATAAAATAGAATACAATCAATCAATCTACCTTTAAAACACAGATTTTATGTTTAATATCTTTTAGGATAGAAAACTGAGTCGACTCCATTGGTTTTAAAGAAAGCAGCACTTGACTCTCAGCTGCTAACACAACAAAGATTTACAGACTTAGAGATGTCTTTTGTATTTTTTTAAGATCAGTGGGTTGTGGCAGCTCTCTCTAAAAGTTAAATGGATTTTTCTCTCTGAAGGTTCATTAAAATCCATCCAGCAGTTCATGGGATATTTTGCTGACAGAAACCAGAGCGTCATCATCTTGCTTTAACTGTTGATGATGGTTGATAATGAGAGCAAGAAACTCCTCACAGCTTAAAACTGCTAACATTTGAAGCTGTGAAGAATTAAATAGTTTTGTGTTCAAATGAAGCAGATTTTTTCATTTTTTAAAATCTTCTGCAGTAAATCTGTTTTTTTTTTTTTGTATTTCTAATGAATGCAGAACATGTTTTATTAAAGTGTCTAATGAGGATTATAATGATCTGAACTTAAATTCAGTAAAACATCTGTTTTCACCACAATAAGAGATTTTCCGGTACCTTCGTTCTTCAGCAGCTGCTGCGGGTCACATGACGGCTCCATCACGTCCGTGACATCATCAGAACTCATCTTCTGACCTGTGGAGCTGTTGGGGTCATCGTGATTTGATTTGTTGCTCTGAGCTGCAGCTGAGGTTGATAAAACCTTTTTATCAGGATCTTGAATCTCGACACTTTCTTTGATCTCCAGCTCTGCCTCACTGTTCGAACCGTTTGCTGCGCCTCTCCTCTCCTCTGCGGGCTCGTTCATTCGGCTTTCTGTCGACTYCTTTCTTTGTCGTGTTAAGAACTTCTGGAACTCCTTCAGCGTGGTCATCAGCGACTGTTTGTGCGTTTCGGGATCTTTGGCGGCGGCGGCGTTCTCTCCGGCGCGCTCGTTGCTTTTGGTTTTCTTCACTTCGCTCGGAGGCCTCCTCGCCTTCGTGCGCTGTTTCCTCCCTCCATCCCTGGCCTCTGGCTTTGGCGAGGCCTGCTGCTCGCCGGTCTCGCTGCGGTTCCRGTCCTCGGGAGAAAGCGGGTCGAGCTGTATTTTATGAGGCCTTCCAGGTCCGCGCTTTGGGCCTTGCTTTTTTTTGGCTTCAGTTTTGCAGACCGCAGGTGTTAAAACAGATTTCTTTGGGATTTTGTTGGTTTTTTTCTCCTGAGATCTCTTCTTAAAGCTCCTGCTCTGGATCGGAGCCTGCTCCGTGCCATTTCCACCCGTTCTGGGATTGTCCTCTACAGTTTCGTCTAAGGATATCCTGTTTGTTTTCCTTTCTGCGGCCGACACACTGCTGCTCGACAGACTCACTGAGCGAGAAGTCGGAGTCGTACATTCCAGATACTGATTCAGAGGGTCCTGCGTGACGCTTCTGCATCTTTTCCTTCTCTTTTTGAGCACTGCTGCAGCATCTCCTGGAGCAACTCTCTTCCTTTCCTTCATCTTTTTAGGCTCAGATCTTTCTTCCGTTTGGGATGTATCCCCAGTTTCTGCACAGGTGTCCCCGTCGTTTGGTTTCCAGCCGGCGCAGAGCTGCTCTGAACCACAGCCGGTGCTGGAACCCTGTGATTTATTTTCTGTGAGAGCGTGGAGAGGAAAGTGTAGAGGCAAGGATGTCTCCGTGAACCAGGCTGGCCTGTGAGAGGACCGCTGGGCGTGGTTTTCAGGGAGGATAGGATGAGGCTGCTGAGCTTCAGGGCTGCGAGGCTCTAAGGGAGAAAGTGGACAAGGAAGTCTCAGTTCATTCAGACAGGATGAGAAAGACATCAGCTCGGGCTGAGGCTCATCTTCACGGGACACAGGTAATAAATGAAGAAAGGACAAATCTTCCTGGGAGGACAGGGGCTGTGATCTGGGGAAATGTAGTTTTGGTTCTCTGAGGACACAAGTCGAGGGTAATATGGACCCTGTTGTTTGAGGAAACACCGACTCATCTTCAGCCACTGAATCATAAAATTCACCTGAAGATTCAAAGAAAAAAATGAGTCAATTCAACACAAGAAAACAAATATTCAAACTGAGCTGTAGCTACCTGCATCAGCTGATGAGGGGACACTTTGTATCCTAAAACTCTTGTAGAAATCACATYCTGCGTGCTCGTGTGCTGACCCGGCTCGGTTCTCCAGACGCTGGCAGAGGTTCTGCTCTCCATCGTGGCCCGTCTGTGCTGTCTGACAGTCATCGTTCAAGCTAGGCAGCATATTCAAGCTCATCAAGATTTCGTCCAGCATCCTGTCTATGCCCTCGTCAGGGATCAGATCCGGGTCCGGGACCGGGTCCTCCACAGAACCCTGAGGCAGCGGCTCCAGGACACTGCTGTGGTCCRGGTTCACGTCCGACTGCGGTTCTGAGTTCATGTCGTCATGTTCTGGTGGTTGTGGGGACGTGTCGAGAACAGGGTGGACGTTAGGGGTCTCTGTGTCCTGCACTGGGAGGACAGAGGAAGCAGAGGTTTGGTCCATCCGAGGACTTCTGGGATTAGAGCCGTCCTGCAGAGACACGAGTCAGTTTATATTTAGAGATTAAATAAATCAAATCTTTAAATCAAATCTAAATCAACACTTCTCACCTGCTTCTCTGAAGGAAGAGGACACGGCGTCTCGCCTTCCTGCTGCACGCTCACAACCCTCCAGACTTTTGTCTCAGTGGTCCGCCTCAACTTCACCTGAACAAACGAGACAAGAAACAACAACAGTGAGAATAAAGAGCTGATAAAATCTGTCCTCATTAGAGCTGCCACAAACGATTATTTTTATAATCGATTAATCACCAATTATTTTTCGATTAGTCGACTAATCAGATCATACGTTAATTG